CTCTACGACCGCGAAGATTCCATTATACAATTGAGCACGACGTAGTGGCTGCTGGTCACCTGGTATAAAAGTGTAAGTGTTTTAAAAATGGGATTCGGCTGTGGTTCTTGGTCCGAACGGCTGATCATCCCGACCAAGAGCTTAGGCGGATCTGGACGGAAACCCGGGCCGGGCCTTCGGCCTTCCACCATCCGTGGGGGATACTGGGCACGTTGGAGCCCATTTGGCGCCACGACCCTGGGCGATAGATAATGTCTTGTCCAGAGTTCGCGCATCACCGAACCTCGGCGGTGTTGGGAGCGGACTACTGCATCGGCAGGGGGGGGGGGGGGGGGGCGTGGACGCTGGGGGCGGGGTCACTGGAAGTCGAGGAACGCAAAAGCCCGGGTGTTCGGAACAACCTGCAAGCCCTCCGGGCACCCAAGTCCAAAACGTCAGGCCGGCCCACACCCTTGTCCCTAGCGGGCTCTGTGACGAGGGGATGACGACCAACCGGCGCATTCCTCCCAGTGCGAGGTGTGACTCCAGTCCCCTTGCAAGCCACTGGGACTGCTAACTCGCCTCCCACTGCCCGCTCTCTAAGAGGCTCTATACGCTGCAAAGGCGTGATGGAGTAGGCTGACCGCCACCGGCTGCCACCGGACTGTCGCTCGTCGAGTGCAGCGGACTAAAGGGGTGCTGATGGAGTAGGCTGACCGCCACCGGCTGCCACCGGACTGTCGCTCGTCGACTGCAGCGGACTAAAGGGGTGCACAATGCACCGGGGAGCCTTCGAACCCCGGACACGTTGCACCAGGGTCCGTCCCTTTCCTTCCGGTTTTCCAGGCGGGGACTGAGAGAACCTCGCTGGGGAACCAAGCGGCGGGGAGACCCCACGGCCCCCGAGGTGGGCGGATCACAATTATGCATTACGGTTACCGCGCACTGGCCAGTCAAATTTTCTCCACGATTGCAGGTGGCTGTGTAGGCCCCGGGACTAGAACGAAAGTGGTCGCGGTGATCAAATCTGCGACAGACGTGTTTTTAAAACATCGAGGCCATGCGATGGCAGTACCAGGCTATTATCGGCCGACATAGCTGTGGGTCTCGCTGAAGAGGCCAGGGCATCACGGTAAGTCTTTTTGCTGGCGGCTCCTCGTACTTACATTGAGCACTTCCAACAGAAGTTCCCATCTTGACTTTGATGCTAACTGCATCCTTCTCCGCAAGAAATACGTCACTTCCTGAGTGAGGCAGTGTGGTCCTCACCACAGTCCGAGCACTTCGGATGCTCAGGGACAGCAGTCGCGGGACTGGTGCTCTCAAGAATGTCTGGTGCAGCGAGGGTCTGCCCGGCACCTGTCAGCGACGTGACCGAAGTTCTGACATCGGAAACAGCCAATCGGATCCGGTATGGCATGGTGGTAAAACTTTGACAAGAATCGAGTGACGACCAGCTTGGACCTCCGGCGGCACAGTAGGGACGTCGAACGTCAGTATGATGGCACCTGTGTCAATGAGCCGGACTTTCTGCCTTCGTCTGACGTGTCGAGCAGAGATCACTCCGTGCCTCTCAAGTCCCTCCTCAATCTCTTCCTCCGACACTCCTCGCAAATCCCAGCGAATCATTAACGCCTTTCCACGAGTTTCTATTTGGATGTGGTTTAACGGTGTTGGCCACGCTAACGATGCCCTTACCTCTCATACGGTAAGTCACCTGCCTGGTATCTAAGTACACGCCTGGCGCCTGGGTCGTTTGCGTAATGGACCTCGATAGAACCGTCAGGGGACCACCGAACCTCCCTCGACGAGCACGCCTGCTCACGCTGAAGTGAGCTGAGGCTGAGCGGCGGTGGCTTTCCACCAGAGTCTGGTTTCAAGCGCTGACTCGTCAGGTACTGATGCGATGGTGCCTCAGATCGGGATGGCACCTGGGCAGTGGTGCGATGCTCGGATGATGGTCGCCGAACGCCGACAGGTCCCGGCCCTGTCCCCAGCGTGGCCAGTGATATCCACGCTGGAGGGATGCTGGTGGTGGCTGTGCGATTATCCATATCAGTCGTCTGAAGAATCCGGCACCGGGGTTCCCCACCCAACGCGGAGTTCAACTGAGGGACGGCCGAACACTCACTCGGGAGGTAGTCACCACTAGGACTTAACCGGTGATATGTGAAACGAACGACCCCTCCCACACGACCAGGTGTAACCGGGAAGACCCCTTTCTGTCCTGGCCACGGTTTAGCGCTGCCGCCCCTTGGCCCCTAAGCCGCGGCGCGCGGCGAGGCGCTCCAAGCGGAGACCCACACAGAGCACCCCGCCGCAGCGCGAGCGACAAGTCGCTAAACCCGTATGGAGCCCTACGAGCTCCCCGCGCCGCCAGACATCCTGGCCAAAGTGGAGTGTTAGGACGAGCCGTGACTGACCCGCACGACGCGCCCCTCAGCCACCAAGATCTGATCAACCCGGGGAAGTGGGCGAGGGGGCACAGCGACCCTGATAGAACGTGGGTGAGGAGTGATGA